AAAAAAAAAAAAAAAAAAAAAAAAAAAAAAAAAAGGAAAGAGAGAAAAGTAGAAAAGAAAGAAAAGAAATACTTATCTAAACCAAGTGCAATGCACTCTGATCTGTTCTGTTTTCTCTTCTATCAAATGTATCCATGTATAGTATATAATTGTTTATATGTGATATATTGATATGTTTTGATTACTCAAGTTTTACTGCATATAAAATAGCCTTGAAGTTTTGCCAAAATTCAGGACCTACATCTGATTTTATGAAAACAGCGGACTGAGACCAGTATAACCAAAGCACCCCACATGAAGAGGCCAGTTATCTCTTACATTATTGATGTCCAAGCTGGGCAGTGGCACACACTGTTAATCCCAGTGAATGAAAAAATAAATAAATAAAAGGAAAAGAACATGACTGGTCCTGGGCATCAGCACCAGATGAATGAAAAAAAGAAATAAAAAAAATCCATAGTGGACATGTCCCTGAGTCATGTGTGGTGGGGTGGGGGTGTGAGGAGACAGGAAAGAGGTACAGCAGCCAGGAGGCCCAAAAGAGAGTTGACAAATGGGGTGGGGTACGCCAGCCAGGAGGACCGGTAACAGGTAGGGACTGAGAGTTGAAGGGAGAACCTGGAGGCCAGCATCTGCCTTGATACGTTAAACAGGCCCCTCAGCTATATGTACCAGGTTTGAGACCTAACACCCAACACTCAGGAGGCAGAAGCAGGCCTATCTCTAGAGGCCAGACCGGTCTATGGAGCAAGTTCCAGGACAGCCAGGGCTACACAGAGAAACCCTGTCTTAAAAAAACACAACAAAAAAAGACTGTTCTCTACTGAAGGCACTTTTACTGTTATTGTGAGAAAGAATTCTAAGGAGCTGGAAGCTCTCTCTACAGCCACTGAGGTTGAATGGAGATCTGAGCCAGTCCACGACAAGGGTGAGTTTCTGTACATTTTGGGATCTTCAGAATCAAGCTGTTCCCATCCTTTCTCTCCCACCTGCAAGCTAAAACTTCTTAGGTGGGGTTCCTGCAAATCTTCCAAATGCCACAATGCTGAGGTGCCAGGGAAGGTCCAGATTTGTGTAGTCTCAGCCAGACAGGAAATGCTCTAAGCTAGGATTGTACTTAATGGTTTTTTTCCATAACAAAATCAGGGCATGTGGCCTCCTAAGTACTTCAGAGGACAATAGGCTAAAATGGTTTAAAACTGAAACTGTCCTGGAAAGTCCCCAATTTGTGATCACATGGTTACCTCGAGAAGTGAAGAATTCGATGCCAAGAGAGTCTTAGGAAGGGGACCCCTCTCCCCTATGTGTTCAGGTTCTGCCCTCTAATTTGGGGGGGAAAGTCTTGGGTTTCTCCAACTCCCTGAAATACTAGAATCTTCTAATACCTTTGATGGTGTTTCACTTTTGTGGGTTTAAGTTTTTTTAGAAGGACTGGACCCTGAGAGGTAGAAGTGGAGAGTGAAGAGAGGCGAGAACCCTCCAAAATGTTGCCAATGTTTCTCACAGCAGCTTGGGCGGTCAGATCATTCTTCCCTGGCCTGGGTCCACACCTACCTCAGTCCCCAGTACACACACACAACTCCCCCCCACCCCACTACATCTACCCAGTACCTTTAGCCAAAGTTACCATCAGCAGCTTGGCTGTAGCCAAAGGTAGCTACTGCTGTGGAAGAATGAAGAGAGACTGGGCTGGCCTGAAAGTTCACAACTGGCTCCTTTCTTCCTGGAGCAGTTCCATGAAAGAGAGTGATGTAATAATTACCTCTGGGACCTCAAGCTCTAAGGTTTGACAGAGAGAAAATTCTGAAGCTTGAGCAGAAAAATAGTTCTATGAAAGGATCTATGACCAGCTCCTCCAGTCTTCTCCATCCCACAATGTCTCCTCCTTCCAGAATGGATCAGTTTTCGATTACTCTAACAGAATACCGAAGACTATACATACTTGATGAAGAAGAGCAGTTCTGGAGATGCAAAGTCACGGTGCTAGCCTCCGTGCTAGGCTGGCTCCGCTCAAGGCCTCCCGGTGGATGACAAGTGGTATAATAGCAGGAGCTTGTGCAAGAAAGAGATTACACAGCAGATAGGAAGCCAGAGAGAGCCTGGGGGCCCAGAGGAGGGACTTTCACTAGGCCCCACCCCTTCAAGGTCCCACTGCCTCTCAATGGTACTGCACTGGGACCAAGCTCTGAACATAGGAATCTCAGGAGGGAGGAACCACATCCAAGCCACAGCACAGCCCTGGCTACACACACTTCCCTCGTCGCCACTCCCCAGCTGCACATGTGGCCAATGAGAATGGTCCTTTCCAGATGTGAGCCTTAGGTGGTATCAGAGAGCTTAGAGTGGGGAGGATGGAGCCGCCAACATGTCTCCCTCAGGGAGAAATCTAGGTGAAGCACTCTGGGAACCCAGCTTCTTTCCCATAGATCCCAAGGAGATGCAGCAGGGCAGATGAAGGGGTCTCCCAAGGCCTCTTTCAATCCCATTGATCTCCTCCACCAGGTAGCCCAGCTCATGGGATCAACATGGCAGCCCCTAACCGCAAGGCCAATACAAAGTTCCTTTAATCATTTGCTCCAAGCTGCAGCCCCACTCATCCTTGGCCTTGTACCTTCTGGAAGCAATGCCTTTAATTAAAACCCCCTGACTGCTGTTGCTTTCTGCCATCTGCCTCCTTTGCACACTTGTTTCCTATGTCTAGGTTTCTGGGAATCTAATTGTCACTAAATTACAGGGTAAGACTAATAGGAGGGTGAGAGCCCAGTTAATGGTGCTCTTTTCCACTAAGCAACAATTGTAGTAATCACCAAGCTAAAGGCTCCCGAGCATTAACTTGAGGTTGCTGGGGTTTCCCAGCCCACGCTTTCTCCCCACCCCTGTCTGAGCAACTGAATACAGTTCATGGGGCAAATGGAAACCCCAGAGGCAGCCAGATGAAGAGAGATGTGGCTGCGAGGACACAGGAGAAAGCAAGAAATCTCAGGGATAGGAACTTGAGTCACAGCAAAACCAGAAGCAAAAGGAACTGGGCTCAATGTTTCAAACAATAAAAAGTCTTGGAAAAAGAACCTAAATAATCGCAAAGAATTAAAGGGATTCTGGTTCCATTCTGGAGTAATACGGTGGGACTGGGGTAGAACCGGTCCTTATTTATTTCAGCCTCGGCCTGATGGAGGAGGGCACGCCCCTCTGCAGAGCAAATCTACTCCCACAGACATTCCAAACAGACACACTCCAACAGCACCACAATCCCATTCAAGAACCTGTGCTCACACTGAGAGCAGGAAATTCTTTTTTTTTTGCTTTTTCAAGACAAGGTTTCTCTATGTAGCCCTGGTTGTCATGGAACTCGATCTGTAGACCAGGCTGGTCTTGAACTTAAAGATTTGCCTGCCTCTGCCTCCCGAGTGCTGGGATTAAAGGCATGTGCCACCACGGCCCTGCAAGAGCATGAGTTCTTGATTTCAGGGTAACCACAGTCTGGAAAGACAGACTAAACAGAATCCAGCTCTCAGTGCCCATCCTCACACTTGTCACCTACCTCAGGAAGCCTTCCATAAGATCTCATCTGGAAGAGAAAGATCATTCTCATCCTACACACGGGGAAACCAAGGCTCAGGAGGGACTAAAGGATGTTCCCAGATTCTCCATGGCCCAAGTTTCCAAAGTGTCATCAGTCAGCTCTTCTGGACGTCCCCAGCAATGTCTTAATCTGCACTTAGAGAAGAGAGCCCTTGCTACCCTCCACCTTCTCACACCATCCCCTGGGATTGTCCCAAGGACCCAGAAATGGATGGCCCCCTCCTCTCCACTAGGGTTAGGGTACCATCCAGGGATGCTCCAGTGCTTTCAGATCTTGACTGAAATGAAGGCTTTCACTCTTTCTAATTAACTTCCTTTCCACATAAGGCCTGGCCTGGGGAACAAATCCAAATGGTAGATGGTGGGGTGCTTCAGTTCAAGGGTGTGTGACCAACCACATGTGATTATATGTTAAATAGACATCTTAGCGGAATAACAAATAGATACTAAACTCCGAAGCACAGTGTTAAGAGTAGCAGCCTTTACAAAGTGGTCAGGATTTATTTAAGGTACAAAAAAGTAAGGGGGAGTTTCTAGATAGGAATTGAAAAAAAAAAGGACTGATTGACAGAGTCACATGTTTTTCACCCTGGCCTCCATGGAGGATGACTTGGAATGTTTTCTTTTTTTTCTGAGACAGGGTCTCACTGTGTAGCCCCACTGGCCTAGAACTTCATATGTGGACCAGATTGGCTTCAGACTTACAGAGATTTACCTACTTCTGTCTCCAAGTGGTGTTCTATTTTTTTTTTTCCGAGATAAGGTTTCTCTGTGTAGTTTTGGTGCTTGTCCTGGAGCTCGCTCTGTAGACCAGGCTGGCCTCGAACTCACAGAGATCCGCCTGCCTCTGCCTCCCGAGTGCTGGGATTAAAGGCGTGTGCCACCACCGCCAGGCTCCTTAGACCTGAAATTACAAGCATGTACTATACCTGGATTTTGTAGTGCTGGGGCCTTGGACATGCTAGGCAGATACTCTGTCAACTCCGCCACATCTCCAGACCCCCAGATGATACTTCAAAACCCCACTCTCAGCAAACAGGTGTCAACGCCCAAGATCTGAAACAGTGAGGGGTAGACTAGACTTTGTGGGAAAGGTGGGCACGCTGGGTGACAGAGGAGGCTGACCTTGTGTGCTAGCCAGGTTTCCATTGTTCTGACAAGAACCTGAGCAAAACAACTGAAGTACAGAGAAGATTTAGTTATTTAAACTGTCACTGGTTACAACCCATGGCTGGCTGGTTTCATTGCTGTGGGCCTGAGATGAGGCTGACTATCATGGTGGGGAACACATGGTGGAGTACCCAGCTCTCCTCATGGCAAATGAGAAAAAGACAGAGAAAGAGGAAAGGCCAGGGAACAAGATGCATTTTCCCAGCATGCACTCAGTGACCTACTTCTTCCAACAAGGCTTCACCTACCTTTCACCACCTCCCAGGAATGACGTCACCTTTTGAACACACCAAAGGTATAATACCCTGAGTAGGTCAGAGCTCTGGTGATCCGGTCACTTCCTAGAAGCTCCCAGTACTCAAGCCTGTGGGGGACATTTCATAGTCAAACTATACAGGTTAGTGATGGAGTTCGGCTTGTAAAGTGCTTGCCTACTATGCACAAAGCCTTGGTTTCGATCCTCAGCTCCACATAAAGCAGTCATGATGGTGCACACCAGCAATCCCAGCTCTGGGGAGGCGGCAGCAGGAGGGGACCAAGACTTCAAGATCAGCCTCAGCTACAGAGCTCAAGGCCAGTCTGGGCTACATGAGACTGTCTCAAAAAAAAAAATTCATATTTCAACCCTAACACCTGCCATGACTGCAGGTCTTACCCAAGAGAGAAGTTTGGAGGCATAACCAGATCTCAGCCAGCAGAAGTTACAGAGATGGCTGGATTCCTAGTACTGAAGGAATAAGAAATACACCCAACAGTGATGTTCGCCTAAACTGAGAGGTCCCAGCAATGAGAACATAAAGCACCCACAGAAGTGTCAGCAATAAATACGTGCCAAGTGAGGGAAACACCAATGCCAGAGCCCCATGCCAGGAACAAGCAAGTGGAAATGTACCTGCTTCTTCCCACTGCAGCACTGCGAGGATCAAGAGCCACAGTCTGACAAGTAGGAGGGGGCCACCGAGAAGGCGGGGCCACCGAGAAGGCGCTTCCTGCCAACCACTTGATCCCAGGTAGCTCAGTGCTTCAAAGCATTTACCAATCTTGCAGAGGTTCTGAGTTTCAGTTCCTAGCTCCTATATGGTAATTCATAACCACCTTTCACGCCAATTTCCAGGGGTTTCTGGTCTCTTGCACATGTGGTACACACACAGGTACACACGCCTATAAAAATAATGTAAGTATATATTTACGATTTATTTGTATTGTATGAGTGTTTTACCTTCATGTATGTCTGTGCACCAAATGCAATCCTGGTGCCAAGAGAAGTCAGAAGGTATCAGACCCTCTGAATTGGAATTACAGGACTACGTGAGCAGTCCTGTGGGTGTTGGGAAATGAACTCAGTCCGCTAGAAAGGCATCCAGTGCTTTTATTTATTTGTTTGTTTTTTTGAGACAAGATTATTTGTGTGTGTTGCTCTGGCTGTCCTGCAACTCACTCTGTAGACCAGGCTGACCTTGAACTCACAGAGATCTGCCTACCTCTGCTTCCCAAGTGCTGGGATTAAAGGTGTGCGCCACCACCGCCCTGCAGCAGCCAGTGCTCATAACCACTGAGCCATCGCTCTAGCCTCATAAATTTTTAAGAGTTCAATCTCACTAGGCCGTGGTGGCACATGCCTTTAGTCCCAGCACTCAGGAGGCAGACCAGGCAGCCTGGTCTACAGAGTGAGTTCCAGGACAGCCAGGGCTACCCTGTCTCGAAATACCCACCACCACCACACACACACACACACACACACACACACACACACACACACACACACATACACACACACAAAGAGTTCAGTCTCTGGGGCTGGAGTGCAGGCTCAGTGGTTAAGAGAATTGGCTGTTCTTCTAGAGGACCAGGGTTTGATTCCCAGCAACCATGTCAGGTGGCTTACAACTGCCAGTAACTCCAACTTCAGGGGAATCCAACTCCTTTGTGGGCATCTGCTATTATGTGCACACACCTACACAAAACATACATAATTAAAATAACAAATTAAATAGTTTTTTTTGTTGTTTGTTTGTTTGTTTTGTTTTAGATAGGGTTTCTCTGTGTAGCTTTGGAGCCTTTCCTGGAACTCACAGAGATCTGCCTGCCTCTGCCTCCCAAGTGCTGGGATTAAAGGCGCGCGCCACCACTGCCCGGCTATTAAATAGTTTTTTAAGTGTCACCTCTTCTAGGTATGCAGCCAGAGCTGGAGACAAGAGAAGCCTCAATTTTATGTCATCTTTGGACTCTTCACGATCATACACTAACCACTGAGTGGAGATTGTATTCAGACCTAAGGGAACTCAGAACTTCAGAGGTGAATTTGGATACGAGGAGAAAGACAATGCTTGACAATAATTAGTCGACTATTTCCACACAGCTTGTGCCAGGCTAGGATGTGGCTCAGCTGGCAGAGTGCTTGCCTAGCGTGCACAAAGCAATGAATAAACATAGAGCTGGCAGCACATGCTTGTAACCCCAGCACTCAGGAGGTGGAGGCGAGAGGATCAGAAGTTCAAGGTCAGCCTCAGTTACACATTGATTGAGAGGCTAGCCTGGACTACATATAATTCTGTCAAAAAAAAGTTGTAGGGCTGGAGGGGTGCCTCAGTGGTTAAGAACGCTTGGCTGATTTTGTACAGGGCAAAGGTTGGATTCCCAGCACCCACAAGGCAGCGAGCAACAACCACCTGTCACTCCAGCTCCAGAGGATCCAAGAGATGCCCTCTTTTGACTTCCAAGGGCACCAGGCCACATGTGGCACACATACATACATAAAGGCAAAACACTCATAAACATAAAAAAGTCTAAAAAAAATTGTTAGGAGTTGAATGTTTCCAATACAAAAAAATTTACATGTTCCTGGTGTGGTAATAACCCTGTGTTATACGTGTGTTAAATAGTTACTCCAAAAAGATAAAGATTAACAAGATGAGAACAATTATAGTATCAATTATAAATAGAAGTATTTAAAAAAAAAGTAATGGGTCTGCCTGAATTTTTATTCTGGTGCAGACATGCCAGCCACAGTGACAAAGGCCTGACCTTGGGCACTCTTCCCTCAGGCCTGCTCCTTTGTCATAGCTTGCAGCTGGTGGAAATGCCACCAGCCTGTTCTGAGGGGGTGCTGAGGCTGGAGACTGCCAGCTGCCTTGCACTGGAGAGCTGGAGAACTGTGCAGCTGAGCCTTGTTATAAAAGTAGCCATGAGCACAGTTTCTGTGCCATGTGTCCAGAAGGGAGGAATTCATCCCCAGGCTGGGTGCGACGGGGTGCCGAGCAGTCGGTGACGCTGGTTTCATGGCTCACAATGTACCGTCAACATGCCTCCTTGTACTTGGGACTGCCTGGGCAAGTGGATTCTCTTTAGCTGAAGCATGCAGGTGGGCAAGGGAGGATGGAAGTAGACAATGTCGAAATTACTCAAGGTAGTTTAGAGGTCAGGCTTTTGGAAGGCTGCCTAGTGCGTGCATCGGACACATTCCAGCAAATATGAATTCAAGCTGAGCATCAGGCTGAGACCTACCATCCCACCCGCCTCCTTTCTGCTCCTATCCACACACGTGTCTAACTGCAGCACTGGGAAACAAAGTATTGAAAAGCCCAGAGTGGCACTCGGTACGGTTCCTTCCCACTGCAGCTGTACCACACTGCCTCCTCTCTCAGAACATCCTCCTCAGATGCAGCCTGCACACCATCACCACACTCATATTCCCTCTGTCTTCGCCCTAACTGCCCTGCCTCAAGAATAAACCAACTTTCTTTCTTTTCTTTTCTTCTTCTTTTTTTTTTTTTGGTTTTTCGAGACAGGGTTTCTCTGTGTAGTTTTGCGTCTTTCCTGGAACTCACTTGGTAGCCCAGGCTGGCCTCGACTCAGAGATCCGCCTGGCTCTGCCTCCCGAGTGCTGGGATTAAAGGTGTGTGCTGCCACTGCCACTCGGCCCAACTATGCTTTTTAAGCAAGCCTTTGGCTCAGGAATTTCCCAGGCCTGAATCAACCAAGCTTTATGACATATTATTTAACTCTTCTACCACCCTTCATGAACATTTTTATTCTCTTGGTCCTCATTGAGATGAACATGTCTACCAGTAAAGAAAAACTGCCCCCCTCCCCCTTTGCTCCTTTTTTTTTTTTTTTTTTTTTTAATTTAGACAGGGTTTCTCCCTGTAGCCCTGGCTGTCCTGAAACTCGCTCTGTAGACCAGGCTGATCTCAAGCTCCGGGATCTACCTGCCTTGCCTGGGACTAAAGAGAGCACTATCATCCCAGCTAACCTGATCCTTTTAAAAAAACAAAAAACAAAATGCATCTCTTGAGTCAGATTTTTTTTTGTGGTAACAACTTGGCTTGAGGTCTTGCTTCAAATGGCTGAGAGATTTTAAAGATTCTGCTGTCTGAGCTTTGACTGGCCACAGAAGGGTTCACCTGGGGCCACAATAACAGACAGCATTCTCAAGAAGAGGATGGGCAGAGGGTTAGTTGCAATATTTTCAAAACCCAAACCAGACTGAAATTTCATCTCTTAGATAAGGTTGGATGGGGACTCTTAACATTCCAAGAACCTTGACAAGTGATGTTAAGATTGTCTATGTAGCCAGTCGGTGGAGCTCACACCTTGAACCCCAGCACTCAGGAGACAGAGGTAGGCATAGGCAGATCTCTGTGAGTTCAAAGCCAACCTGATCTACAGAATGAGCTCAGGGACAGCCAGGGGCAACACAGAGAAACCCTGTCTCAAAAAGCCAAAATAAACAAAAAACAAAAATATTGCCCAGCTGGGCGGTGGTAGAGCACGCCTTTAATCCCAGCACTTGGGAGGCAAAGCCAGGTGGATCTCTGAGTTCGAGGCCAGCCTGGACTACAAAGTGAGTTCCAGGAAAGGCACAAAGCTACACAGAGAAACCCTGTCTCGAAAAAACCAAAAAAAAAAAAAAAAAAAAAAAAAAAGATTTATGCTATAGTCCCGTCACCCAGCTCCCAAATAAATACATGGAGACTTATTCTTACTTATGAATGCCTAGCCTTAGCTTGCCTTATTAGCCAGCTTTTCTACTTTAAATCATCCCATTTCTCTTTAACTACGCTTTGCCTCTGAGCCTTTTACTTTTCTGTTTTCTATATATCTTTCTTTCCTTCTTACTCCTTGGCTGGCTGGGTGGCTGGCCTCTGGTGTCCTCTCCTCTTCTCACTCCCCACCTTTTCCCTAGATTTCTCCTCCTATTTATTCTCTCTGCTCATCAGCCCCGTCTGTTTCTCTCTCCTGCCTAGCTACTGGCCGTTCAGCTCTTTATTAGACCAATCCAGTGTTTTAGACAGGCAAAGTAACACAGCTTTTCAGAATTAAACAAATGCAACATAAAAGAATGCAACACATCTTTGCATCATT